TCCAGGAGGCCGGAGAATGAGGGAGAGAGCAGGGACCCTTGGACTGCAAAAAAGTCATGTGATTTTGTTGTTGTTGTTGTGTTGTTAAATGACTGGCCTGTAGCAGTTTTTTTTTTTTTTTTCAAAGGCTGCACTTAAAATAATAATTTTAAGCATGGATGAAACATTTCAATAGTTCACTATTAGTATTAGATTACTATATTAGAAGGCGCATCAAACTATTTTATGACCCAAAGTAATTTCTTTGTTTTGTAAAACTCAGTCACAAAATCACCCTGTGTTTATGTATGTTTAGTTGTGCACTGATATTCTTTATTCTAATTAGTACTCAAATATTTCTTGGGGATAATTCGGTTTTCTACAGTCATCTTCAGCTTCAGGTTCTAAGAGACTGAAGGCCAAGCAAGCAAAGGGTTTAGACAAACATATAAAACTTTTGCCTCTGATGCTATGTGTTGGCCAGTAATTAATATTCATAAAATTAAGCACTTTCCAACTCAAAATATAGGCAATAATAAAGATTAAATAGAATGAACTAAAAATGAGCAAAAGAACACGGCTGATTAAAAAGGTAAAATTGAAGAAATGGCTTAATTTATTCACAAGTAAAACCTCCTAATATGCTTTAAGCAGGTTAGAAGGGTAGGCAATGAAAAATGTAAAAACCCATTTAGTTAGTATATAATTCTTTCTGTAAGGAGGACCTGTTTTCACTGAGTTTGAAAGTGAGAAAAATGTTTCAGTAATTAAGCATCAATACCACATTGTGAAACATTCTATATGCTTTTTCATTTTATTAGAGAACTAGGCCAAAGGCTGACTCACACTAATGTGCATATTATAACTAGAAATATTAAAAATAGAAATCCAAGGGTAGACTTAGTCATTCAGTTGAATTGCTTCATCTCCATCACAAAAAATATATATATTAACCTACATGTGAGATAAGAATTAATTTCCTATCCTCTTCTTATTCCTCAAAAATGACCAAAAAAAAAAAAAAAATCTTATTTTTGGGTGTGGAAATGGTGAAGACATGAAGCTTACTAGTGAGTGGTAATAAAACATGGAGCCTCTAAGATGGCATGAGTGATGATTTATTGTGTGAACTGCTGTGAGATACAACAGCATTAAATACATTATTTTCATCCTAATGTTTCTCTCCTGGTAGGTGCCTTTGGGTGTTCTATATACACTCAAGATGTTTAGTAGTTATGCCAGAGGTCTTTCTGTTAAAATAATTTTCTGTAACTTCTAATTGCCAAATAGGAAAGTGACAAAGGAAGGAAAAGTGAATTGCTATTAATTTCCACTTACATGACTTCAAAGTGTGTGGATTTTGAAAAAAAAAAATTACTAATAAACATAGCAGTGGCTTATTTTTGTCAGGAAAATAGCCATCACTTAGAGAAAATTCTGAGGTAAGATGAAATATGTGAATAAATTAAAAATTCTTTTTCAAAATAAATGCCAGCTTAAAATAAAATACTCAGTTTAATACATCTGTATACATTTCTATATTATTTTGAAATTTGAAAAGCTTAAAAGAATACAATTATGGATGTGGTTAAAGATACTTTATAGTTGCAGGTCAATTGTCAATATAAAATTCTTTGAAATCTAGTTCCCGGATGCCTGGGTGGCTCAGTTGGTTAAGCGACTGCCTTCGGCTCAGGTCATGATCCTGGAGTCCCGCATCAGGCTCCCTGCTCCGCGGGGAGTCTGCTTCTCCCTCTGGCCCTCCCCCTCTCATGCTCTCTGTCTCTCATTCTCTCTCTCACAAATAAATAAAATCTAGTTCCCAGGAGAATTTTGCATTTATTCTTGATGACACGTGAATTAGTTATGAATTAGCCAAGTTTATGTTTGGCGTATTGAATTTAGATTCGGAAATGGTTTGGAAATTATTAAATGGTAAAAAGTAAGCTTGAAAAGATGACTACTTAAAATAAAATAACATAAAAATGGAATACATACATTTTAGGAGATTGATGAGAAATCAATAAAATAATTTTTTAAATACCCATATATCTATTCCTAGCACAATATGTTAGATTCATTCAGTGCCAACTCAGAATTATGGAGTGACATAAAATAATACATTAAAAATAGACAACATGTGTAAAAAGCACTATATACATTTTAGTTAACTTTGAGATGTAATTCACTATAATGCATGTGAAATTAGATTAAGTAGAGATTGTATTAGTTTGTTGAATACTATTTTCCTAAACTGATATTTCAGAGGGGATGTAGCTCTATGAATTAGCTGTGTTTAACAAAAACTCTGAATATTTGTTTGCAGGAAATCATTAAATTCTTACAATTTTTGTTTTACTTGAGAGGATGAAATTTCAAACCCCTATATATCAGAGTCACTCATATATAATTTAGTTTGAAATTAATTGAAAGTACTTTTCCCAGAAATGTAGGAAATCTGTAAGAAGTGTTTTCCTACTGAAAGAATATCTTATACGCCAGAATATAGCATAAACTGAGCTAGAATGGAAACTTTATTAAATAATTTAATATATATGGGTGCCACATTGCCTTCAACTGTCTGTGGAGCCTCCTCCCTTCAAAATAGTATACATATATATTTGTATATATAGACTACAGAGCTGAAAAACTGTAGAGGGCAGAAAAAAACAATCATTTGTTATTCTTAGAAGTTACCTTGAGTTATTTTTAAAGTAAGACAGCATGTAAACACGTAAGTCAATAAAAAGACAAGTTTTGTACAGATAGTCAAGATGCAGTCAATGATAATCTTAAAAAGATAACCATCGTGCCTCGCAGGATCTAAACTTGGCCGTTGTTTCTCAAATCTAGGACTAATGGTCCATCTTTATTTCATCTGAGTGTGTAAATAATAATGACTATACAATAACAAGCAGGTAGATAGAGGCGCTAGAATACGTGTGAATGTTTTCTCTTCGCAAACCATTGCGTCATTACACCGTGATGCGGAAGAAGCTACGTGAAATGCAACCCCGTATCAGCCATTTCTCTCAACAAATAACATATTCAGAAACATTTTGGCACGTCTTTATAACCCCGCAGGACTAAAGTAATGATACCACACGTGGGAAGTGCAACTTCTGACCAAAATACTTCCATATCATGCATACACCCAAACATATACAGCAGTGGGGATAAGCATCTATGACATGGTGCGGTGGGTAATCAGCACACAGCAGGCTATGACAGTGTGGGGTGGGGAAATTTGGATACAAGAGCAAACTTGTATTCTTTCACATTAGACCAAAGGTTCACCCGCTTGTACCTTAATAGAGAAAAGGTCAGATATAAGAGATTCCATATAATTCTAAGCCAATACTGAACCAAGTTAAAACTTTCCTAGGAATAATGTAAGGTTCCCTGTTGTAACAAACTTTTTATACTGAGGCTATTTTATTTACTTTACCTATTCTGCCAACTTAGAGTGCTTGGAAAAACTATGTAAACCCGTACTCATGAAGATAAAGGGCTTTGGGCCAACATTTAGACTCAGTTAGATTATGTTGATTTAAAGATTTAGATTGCTCAGACTGTTTATAAGCAAAATACATATATTTTTTTTTTAAAAATGATGAATTCAGTCAGCCCAGAGGGTTGTTAGGTTGAGAAAAATAGTTTTCAAAAAGGCAAAATGATCAACCCCAAATTTGCATAATGATTGGAATATTACAAAATAAATGGAATGCATAAATTTCTAATGAATGTATTTGCATTACCATATTGTTTCTTCTTAAAAAGTAAGTATTGATTGATTGTTGCTGAGGTAAACCTAAGTTTTCATCAGACTTCTTTGTGCATTGTTTTGTAAGGCAATACTTCAATATATTTTTTTTATACTAAAGCTCCTATAGGCATTAACTACTTAGTTACTAGAAATTTAAATATATTCTCTCCCAAAGTGGCTATTTGTGTTATGCAAATACAAAGCAATTAAATTTTTTTTTAATTTACAGTTAAGATAATTAAGTAAAAGTAATTGGATCAAGTGATTTTTTTCCTCCAGGGATGAAAAAATAAAGAAGTGGCTAGCTATGTTGGGAACAAATATGCAATTTTAGAAGAAAAATTAGTTGAATGATTACATATTATAAGAAAACTTAGTAAGGGCTTTAAAATAATACTGGCTCTAGATACCTGCTATGAAATTGAGAATCCTTCAATTAGATAAATGTAACATGTTTCTGGTCTGTTTATCTAAGGTTATTATCTATTCTTAATGAAGATGTGCAGCAGAATCATCTGAGGAGGTATTTTTAAATGCCCTTTATTCCAGAAATTTAGTTTAAAAGACTGGACTGTTTATGATTTCCCAGCCCCAATTCTTGGCTTGAGTATGTTTAAACGCAATCATTGAATGCTAATATTATGGTGGCCAAGTCCGACGACTAATACGCTCTAGTATAGACTACCTTGTGATCTCTTTTTAATTGAACATTTCAAAGGACGCTGCTATCAAAAACCGAAATTGTTCATTTATTATAAAGAATCTCAACTTCTCTTCACATTAAGGGATTCTAAAAATACATAGGTTGGACAAAGTATTTTTTTTTTGCCTTATTTTTAGGTCTCTATTTTCTGACAAGAAAGGCTGCATTTAGAACTTCTTTGTACAAATAATTTTTCTATTAATTTTTGGAACTAATTTTGTCAAAACAAATGACTGTTTCTTTCATGGAGACTATTATAAGATTATATGCGTTATTTTTGTTTATATATATTTAAAGATCATTTTGACCAATCAAATAACTCAGCTGATTAGATAAAGGATAATATTTAAGTATCTTTTTACTGAGTGAGGGAAGACAAACGGAGTTTGAAAAAGAGAATATCCTTAGCTGAAGGGGGATGGTCATTGTTTGGCTTTAAATATGCAAGGGGCTGTGTTTCCCCACCAAACACTGCCTGGGTGCAGAATATGCTCTCTGCTTTTTTCACTGATGACCACATTCCTCTACTTAGAGTTAAGAAAGTGAATTTACCGTGTCTGAGAAACGGTAAAACTTCTCCAATGCAAAAGCTTCTGTCTGTGGGAAGGTAAGGTGGACCAAGAGGGATTGAGAAACCAGAGAATCAAGTCATATATGAGTAAATATAATTGCACAATTGGTTTTAATTGCATATATCATTTTCACATACATATGTATCAATTAATCGATTTTCACATATGCAAGGTATCCAACCCCCAAAGGATGAAATGAACTAAGAACAAAGCAAAACAAAAACCCTATATTTTCCTGCACTAAATCTCAATTATAATATTTGCTGCTTGAATATTTCAACTAGTCATTAGAAAATAATAAGATATTACTCTTTTTGCATTTCTATATTTCCCTAGAGAGCCACTCACTAGAAAAATTAATCTTGTCATTTTTCTGTGAGCTAAAGAATAATGGGCTTCATTATATATCCTGATATTCTTACCGGTAGTGAAACTCAAAAGCTGCTTTGGTAGGATAATTTTTTTTTAAAGGAGAACCAAAATTGAGCATCTACACTTACAGTCTATTATGTTACCCATTGGACACTGTGTCTGTTGTTGGATGTGTGGTGGGTGTGGAAAGTGAGCTCTCTACCCCCATTTGGACATCACATACCTAATACTTCCCGGCACCTGGTCGATACATTCTAAATTGTATAGGGAGGAGGAGAAAGGTAGAGAAATGGAAAATAAAAGTGAAAAAGCAAACCAAAATGAGAAGGGGAAATAAGTATTACTTTACTTCGGATTAATGACATTAGAAGAAGTTGTCTTTATCAGTCATTTAAGGGAAAGGAAAACAGGAGCTTTACCCTAGTGATATAGAATTTTTTGTCCTGCGATAATGTTTCAGCCAGTGCCAAGTGTCATGAAAAGAAAGAGGAGCAGGTAGACAGTAGGGAGGGAGAAAAAAGGGGAATAAAGAGCGAGAAAAAGAAGGAGAAAAGTATAAGGAAACCAGTAGATGGGGCTGTGGGGGGGGAGAAAGAGATAGAGAAAAATAAATTTCCCTATTAAAATGTTTCAATATACAAATGATGTGCCTTTATTTTCATAACAATTTGATCAAATAAAAGCTCAGGCACTGTTTTTGTCCCATGTATTACTCAGAGTATCACAGTCCTCGATGTTCCTTCCATGCTACTGTGAATTGGGTATTTATTATGATTTGGGGGAGTTAATTAGACATGACTGAATTCATTATTACTTTAGAATATGTTTAATGCTCAGTACTGAGAGATCATGGGCTTAGGGCTTTAAACAATTTTATGAATATGTAAATTGCAGCGAATAATTCAGAAACTACAAGGAAGCCTCAAAAAAAAAATTTAAATCCTTTCAAAATCCTTAAAAATGCATCCTATATGAACCAGACTATTATTTCTAAGATTTGAGTATGTTTTGACTTAAGTATTCCAATACACCAGATTCTGGCCACAATTTCTCCTGTTACATAATTTGACATTTCTCTATTGCGTATGAGTCCATTTGCTTTTAAATGTCAGTTGGCACATTCACATTAAGAGAAGTAAACTGATAGATACGCTTGTCAATAGAAACTCTCCCTTCCAGAAGAGGAAAGGGGGTTGATCGAGCTTATGTGCATATAAAGACAACATTACAAGTCTTAATAGAGGGGAACAACTCCATTCTGTGCATCCAAATTCAATTATGAGATTACTTCTACAACTTCCTGTGGTCTCCTAATGATGTTCTCAATACAATTTCTTCTGGATTTCATTTAACAGTTAACAGCAAGGCAACAGTAACACATTCTTGTGTTTCCCATAGAGATTCAGAATAAATATCTTAAAAACAGGAAAGTATGCATGAGCAAGAGACCACATAGTTCTACATGAACATCATAGCATTAACAAATAGGTAATATTTTATGGAAACAATGAAAGGAATTACTTTGATAAAAGGAACAACTTTAATAGCTATATCCAATGACGTGTTAAGTAAGACCATCAGGAACACTCTCACGTTGCAAGTAAGAAATGATATATTTTGTTAATTGAAGCAAAAAATGGTGTTGTTCCAGGAAGTACATTAGAAAGAGATTGATAAAGCTCTCATGTCGATAGATACGCTATATAAAGTAGAACTGGATGTCACCATTTCATCCCTGAAGCTATTTTTGACAATTTCAGTTTCGATTGGACAAAACCAAAGGAATAGTTGTATCCTTTGGTTCTCAGACTCCACTTCCTCTCTGCACCACTCTATTACATATAACAAATTTACTTTCCAGTGACAATTGGTATCCTGCCGAACCCGATGCATTTAATCGCCTACCTTATTCTTTCTCTTTCGTCGAAATCTCAGAAGTTCTTTGTGCTGTCTTGATACAAAATTTACAGCTGCATATTCCAGAAGTGCTGAAAACACAAAAAGGAGGCATACTGCCATCCAAATGTCAATAGCTTTGACATAAGAAACCTAGCAAAGAGAGAAAGAGTGAGCAAATTGAGTTATATTGTTGTGTCCATCAAGAACAAAACCAAATGTCTGATGCTAAGTTGTACCATTTATATCAGCTGGAAAAAGAAAGCAACAAGACCAAGACTTTTTTTAACTTAATAAACATTTTTTTATTTTTTAATAATTAATTTTTGCAAGTTTGTGTATCAGTCACACATTACAACCTGTGTATGTTTTGTTAAAAATTGTTGTCCAATGAAACACAAGACCAAACACATGATGAAGAAAAAATAAGTTAAGTGTAATTTTACCTTCAGTGTAGTATAGGATAATGCTCAAAAAAGTATGAAGTAACATTGAAATATAGATAATGCCACTTACCTTTTAGTTCCATATTTGCTTCACTAAATGTTTTTATTTTGAAATAATTTTTACATTAACAAACATGTTGCAAGAACAGTAAAAAAAATAAAAAAATAAAAAACAAATAAAAAACAAACCAACCCCCCCACCAAGTTCCCCAGTTGTTAACATTTGACCAAATGTTATATTTGTCTCTATCTCTATCATTTATGTTTTCCCCTTGAACTATTTGAGTATAATTTGCAGACATGATGGCCTGTTACCCTGAAATACTTATGTGGATTTTCTAAAAGAAAATGACAATCTCCTCCTACATAACTCTAGTACGACCACTAAAATCAGATTGACGTTAATAAAATACTACCATCTAATCCTAAAAGCTCATTCTCATTTCAGCAACTGTCCCAACGATGGCCTTTTTAGCAGAAAAACAGTTTTCGAACCAGTTCCAGGATTTAATCTAGAACTGTGTGTTGCATTTTGGCATCATATCTCTTTAGTCTTCAGTGTGGAATATTTTGGTCAGTTTTTTCTCGCCTTCTGTGACCTTGATATTTTTGATGAGTGTAGACCAAATATTTTCTGAGTGTCTCCCACTTTTGGTTTATCTGATGTTTCCTCATTTTAAACTCAGATTATGGGATTTTGATAGGAACAGCGATGCCCCGTTCTTCACAGTGTACCATACCAGAAGGCACTGAACGTTGATCAGTTGGTTAAGGTGTTGTCTACCAGGTTTCTCTACTATAAAGATATAAATTTCCCTTGTGTGGAGATATTTGAAACTACATAGTATCTTCTTACTCTTTAAACTTTCATCCCTTAGACACTGATGACTTTTGTCTGCATCAATTATTACAATTATGATTTCCAAATGTGGGTTTTCTAATTCCATCTACATGTATTAGTTAGCATTCTACAGTAAGGAAAGTTTCTGTCTCCCACATTCATTTATAATAATAATGATTTTGTTTAATGGGTTATAATGCATTAACATCACTATTTTGATGCTCACACTAACTATACAAACTGGGTCAGGCCCTAGAAGTTAGGCCATGCATCCTTTTGTCAAGTCTCCCTCATGATTTGGGGGCTTTCTTACTTTCTGGCACGAGGCATTGCCGACTCATCTATAATTTCCTATTCCAGTCCTTGATTAAGGCCTTCCTTCCTTCCTTCCTTCTTTCCTTTCTTCCTTTCTCTCTCTTTTTCTCTCTCTCTTTCTTTCTTTCTTTCTTTCTTTCTCCTTTCCCCTAGAGTCATTTCTTTAGTGAGGAACGGCTTTTAGAAACCGAGGATCTAGGCACTGGGTGTGCTCATTGTTTCCTGGGTATCACTATTTCTAGGCCCTCTTAGCAGACAGAGTTAGGAATTGTATACATACATACACACAAGCATCCATAACTAATATATATATTTTTATATATATATCACTGATATATATAATATGTCATATATATCTGCATATATACAATATATTATAATATATATAACATATCTGTTTATCATCTATCTGTGCATCTTTTTTTTTTCTTTTAGAGAGAGAAAAAGAGAGCAAGAGTGGTGGGGTAGGAGGGGCAGAGGGAGAGAGAGAGAAAGCATTTTAAGCAGGATCCATGCCCAGCACAGAGTGCAATGTGGGCTCGGTATCAGACCATGAGATCATGGCCTGAGCCAAAATCAAGAGTCAGAAGCTTAACCAACTGCGCCACCCAGGTGCCCCTCTTTGTGTATCATTTATCTATCTGTATTTAAAACATGAATTCCCACTGGCATCTATAATTCCAATTCACTACCACAGGGTTCACTCTAGCTTTCACCTTTTTGATCGATGTAACACTTTCTCAGACAGCGACAATCTTGCCTCTCATTATCTTTAACATATATTTAAAGAGTCTCCCTGTATGTAACTAATATCTTAATTCTGCTGGTCACCTCCAGCCTGAGCCCCATTAACCCCAGATGCCTTACTGGCTCTGGCTTCACGCAGGAAGACCCCACTGGCCGCCTTGGTCTTGACCTCCTCCTTGACCCATGGACCCAGGTCCTGCCAACCCCAGCCAGCCTCCTTCACCCTCACTACCTCGTTAGCATGAGGTCTTGCTGTTTTCTGCCTCGTCAAGGGTAAGGAAGAGAAGATAAAGAGAAGAAAAAACAAAGAACAGAGAATTATTTTTCTTACTATTTTTAAGAGAAAAAAACCCACAAAGAAGTGAAACAAAGAGAAGCATAAAAGGAAGAAATATGTCCCTGTTTCTTAGAAACAGATTCATACAGACTGAAGACCTTTGGAGGAACAATTCAGTAAACTTTAAGAAACTGTTTTAATTTTTCTCTCAGCTTAACAGGGCAGTGATTTGAGGATGTAATTGGACAAATGTTGCTGTATATGTCAATTGCTTAAGGATGAAAATTTTCTGTAAGTTTTAGTATCCCTTCTTATTGTATATGTGTCTGTATTACACACAGTGTTATATCATGATAGCCATGCTGGTAAAATCATAACATTTTGTGCTATGAGCAAGAGCCGTTCATTTTGTTGGGTACCTTAGACACATCAGTTAGATGTGGGGGAAAAAATTCTCTCATTTGCCAGGAATGAGATTAAGAATGAAAGATATTGGGCGCCTGGGTGGCTCAGTTGGTTAAGCGACTGCCTTTGGCTCAGGTCATGATCCTGGAGTCCTGGGATCGAGTCCCGCATCGGGCTCCCTGCTCGGCAGGGAGTCTGCTTCTCCCTCTGACCCTCCCCCCTCTCATGTGCTCTCTCTCATTCTCGCTCTCAAATAAATAAATAAAATCTTAAAAAAAAAAGAATGAAAGATATTTATGTGAAATAATTTTTTTTTTAATTTTTCCTGGGAAATGGACAATTACCTAAAACTTTGCTTCCCCACTGATAGAAACAAATGTCCCTTCCCAAGAAGTCAAGGAGAGCAGAACTCGAGGCTAGATGTAAGCAAAGATGTACTAACTACTTCTTTGGACTCAATGTATCGTTATCTTAAGGATCAAAACCTTACACTTTGGAAATTTGACTGTTTCTGTGCTGTTTGTATATTCTGTATTTTTTTTTCCTCTCTATTCATTCTTAATATCTAGTGGTGTTTTTGTCAATATCAACCTGTGGAAATCTTGATCAAATTTAGGCTGTGGTTTAAAAGGGGAAAAGTGGCTTACTCTTCAGGGGAAATCTATGTTGGGGAGAGCAATAAATAAAGTAAGGACAAACCTCTCTCCCCCTTCTCATTTGGCCTTTTTGGTCTCAGGCTCGACTTTGCCCAAGTCTGGTTCAGAATCCCACGGCACTTGCGGGCTTACCTGAAGACAGTACCTTGCAAATGCTCATGCTTGTTCTTTTTCTGTTTAGACTGTGAACTCTTTGAGGGCAGATGTCATCTCTGAGTTGTTCACCACCACAATACTGTTTGGCATGTGTGTACATATTTGCTAAATAAATGGGCAGATAAACTAAGGTGTACAATGTTAAAATACAGGGGAAGAATGAATCACAGATGATGATTCATGTGGAGATTCACTTTTGAAGTGATGCTCTGTTCATACCTTGGGTTGGATTAATTCTCTTTTAAAAAGAGGCCATTTCTTGACACTTCCAACGGTGTCAACTTACGTATGAAATATGTCAACAAAGGAGCCCTCTGCATCTCCTCCACTTATTTTAAATGTGACTTCTGTTTATCAGAACGACCTCTACTGAGCAAAGACAGGTATGCCCTCATTTTATTCCCGTGCTTGCTAAGTGTCCAATTGTTTATAAAATATAGATTTAAAGCTCATAAGTTCTGCAGTTATGCCAAAAATCTTTGGCTGTCCTCAAATACATACTGTCCCAAAAGATAAAATACAGATTTCAAAAGCGCTGTCTCAAGCTACAACATTCCTGGAAGAATATTACTCATAAAGCATGTGCTCATTCTTTAACAACCTGAATCTATAATGACATGAACTGGAGATAAATTAGAAATTTAATTTCCATGTTAATCCAATGAATGTCTTCAATGACAACAGAGATATGCAAACATCATTTATGCCTGTTAGGGTTCTGCTAATTGTGAACAACTCCCGAGTGTTGAGCCTAAAGGGCCTACTTTCCTCATCTTCTTCTCTGACCTTCTTCACCAAATTCAACTCTTTTTCTCCTCCTCCACCCTCATTGCCCATCCAAATGCAGCAAACTTGGGACCTGGGAGGTTTGGAACTCTAGGGCTAATAACTAAAATATGGACAGCGGTTCTTACTCCAGCCCATGCCCAACATATTCGTGACATACAACACACCCCATGTGTTTCAGATTTATCACCTTTTTTTCCATCCCCTACTGGTTGCTATTCCTTGGGGCATTCTCACTCCAATCTGGTTCATTCCTCTGAACTACCATTTCAACAGTCCCATAGTCCAATGTGCTGTTGGAACCCTGATTCAATTTTAAGCAACAATCTCTCCTCAGTATTACTCCTTGAATACAAAAGTATGAGAAAATAAAACCTAAACATTTATTAGTTAGATGCACCAGTCAGGGGGACCTTTGTACTGGAGACCTGTTCAAAGCCACCATATTGAAGACTGCTTCTTTCTTGGAGCTTGCTCTTCCCATGGCTCCCGTGACCCAGGTTCTTCAGGTTTCCCTCCCTCAG